TTTTGGGGGGGGGGGAGGGGTTGGTTGCTCTTTACTTTGGTGTTGTATACTGTTCTTTGTAACACAGTTTGCCTGCAAAAAAAAGTATATTCTTCCTCAGCATGTTGTATGGAATAGTTTCTCTATTCCATACAACATGCTGAGGAAGAATATACTTTTCTAGCTATTATGACAGATAATTAACATTTATCAGCTGGTAATTGCATGGACTACCTAAATAGATACACACTGAAAATATTGTTTAGGTAGGATCTCACACTCTATCACTGTTGTTACATTTGCAGGCCTCAAACTAAAAAAAAAAAATGGAATGCTTTGTGTCCATTTTTAAGAACAACTTGCATAATGTGATTAACGTTTTTAATTGTGTATGATTACTATATTGCATTTTTGAATGTTTTGTTTGTGGTGTGTTCAGCTAAGCCAATCATCTTTTCCTTTATTGTTATACCATTAGGGTGGGGTGGGCAAAAGTTTCTAATGAGCTGGATAGCAATAAATTATTTTGAAGTTGCTTTACAGTTGCCTAATGTTTTCCAAGCAGATTACCGAATGTTTAATGTTAAATCCACATTCCAAGCATGTAAAGCATTGGATAGATGAGGAGTCAGACACTGTAAACATTAATATTAGCAATTAATCTTTTATGGCACTCCCAGTCTTCCATATATAAAAGAGCAGAATTGACAGAGAAAATATTGTGAAGAACATCCACCAAGAAAAGTACTATTTATCTTTAGCTCTACTGTACCACTTAGATCTGTGTCATCATGAGTTACGGTGGTCACTCCTCTGCTGGATCCTCTCATGGAAACTGCCTTATTGGTAGCCATCTGTCCAAGATCTCAAGCCACTGTGGTGCTCGTCATGGAGGATTCTCAAGTAGCCATCATAGAGGATCCCACTCTTCTCACCACCATGGTTTAGCTCGTGCTACCCATCATGAAGGATCACACATCTCCCTTCATGGAGGTTCACATACTATTCATCATGGAGGCTCCCACAGATTCCATTGCGGAGGTTCTCATAGTTCTCATCATTCTTCCAATGCCACCCACCATGGAAGTTCCCATGAAGTCCATCATGGCAATCACTATAGAGCTCCCAGTGTACATGGAGGGTCCGGAGGTAAAGGAATCTCCATCTGCAAGCATGCTCATGGAAGCGCTCACAGCAGTGGCCGTGGAAGCAATTTTAGCCATCATGCTTTGTTCACTGTCAATAGGAAAGAAACCATGCAGCACCTGAATGATCGCTTGGCTTCCTACTTGGACAAAGTCCGCTCTCTGGAGCAAGAGAATGCCCAGCTTGAGAGAAATATCCAGGAGTGGTATGAGAGGAATCAGCCCAGCGCTTTACCCAACTTCAGCAGCTTCTTCAGGATTATTCAAGAGCTTCAAGGCCAGGTAAATACATTATGTCCTCTACATAAGTGATATAGAAATTATTTTGACTGCACAAATAATTTTTTCAACATGAACACCAGATCTACACACATGTTGTATTAATTATATAGAGCATTATAGATATCCACATATTTACAAGATAAAAACTGTTTAGCTTCTTTAAAATATCCAGTCAAATTTGCTGTCCTTGGAGAGCTGCATAGAGATAATCAAGAGTCTAGCTACTTCATATTTCCTTGTGTTATATATAAAGTTGTCAGCAGACACATGCAGTTTTAGAGGTATTTGCATGCTAGGTTATATCAAAGGAGGGATCAATACATTTTCTTGGGAAGTGTTAATGTATGCCTGT